AAATCCCAAGATTGGATTTATTGAAACTAGTCATTAGCTAGTTCTTCGTTAAGTAGTCATTAGCTAGTTCTTCGCAATTAAGTAACAGAAAGACAAATTAATCAAAGTTATTAACCATTTCTGACACAAATAGTATTTTCAAAATATAGCACATATTTGATATTATAGTCAAATATTATAGTATAGTGTACTGACAGTACTGTATACTATGTATAGATTAAAACTACAGAAAACCTGTACAACACAAATATGAGTAAAGTTTTCACGCTCCATTCAACTGTTGTGATATTATACGCATTAAGTATACGTTTCTTTGCATTTCCTTTGTAGTATTAGTATATAGCACAGCTCTGAAACACCAAAACAATATTCGTACACTCCTAAACGGCCGCCATGTTGTATACAAAAATATACGGATAAAAATTAATTTTTGCAAAATTGCAACATTCCATTGTATTACCAGCAACCAATCATATTCATTTCTGACATGGATTATTCCAGAGCCTTCGTTTCCTTCCCAAGGATCGCAGGCTCGGGGAACGAGATTGCGATATTTTGTATTCCTAACATACGAGGAAGTAGACTTTCCAAAGTCCTTTCCAGACCCTTCTATGGCGCGTTTAACTTCCGCTGTGGAAAGGACTTTTGTCACTTGCAGCGCGCCAAATATCACCGGTGGAAAAATCCACCGGTGACGTCATTAACTGTGTTTACATTGAAGGCCGAAGCGGTTTACATTATCGAAGGAGTCTTTTTTGTTGAACAAATGTGTATTATTGAAGCAAACAGAGTAAATAAATATTTTGTAGAACAAAAAAACCATGTGAAAATACACAAACAAACATTACATTGTCATTGAGTATAAAGTACAGGGCGTAGAAATAAACTTTAATACTGTCACCGAAGATGCATCGATCTGATGATTCTAAAGTTTCTTCACTAGTTTCGGGTTTAGTTTGGGTTTCTTCATCTCGATTACTGATTATTACAAATTCGTTTGTTGAGAGACAACGCGTATTTTTACTGTATTTTGAACTCCAGCGACGTCTTCTCGTTGATCACAATCGCCGCCTCTCTGCTTCTTGGTTTACAGTTAGTTGTCTGATTCTTTTCAATTAGATTAATTAACTTCTACTACGTTAAAATCGCTCGCGAACTGAATCAACTTTCTTTAATAAGTCTAATAAATTACTATTCTTGTCGACACAATTACGGCACACATTGTTTAATAGACTAACAACTGTCAAGATTCAACAAGTTTTTACATGCACTTGTTTTGTTGATACATTAAACATCTTTCGACGCTTACTTGGGACAGTTATTTCGTTTCCACACTCGGTGCAAACTGTTTCATTCGAGGACAAAGAAATATAAATTCTTGAGAATGTTTTTGTGTTTTGTAGACCCATTGTCGGCGCGGTGAAGTAATTATATGAAATGTACACACCCTTTTTAATATGTCAAAATTATTCGCGCCAAAATTTTTAATGCGATTTAAATTCCTGCAAGCGACACAAGTCGACCACTCGCGAATTCGTCACAGAAAAAGGCTAGGACCTCGAATTCGTCGCTCGAGTCGCGCGCTCCCTCCCCCATGGTCGACTTGTGGCAAGTCTAACGAGGAACTTCAAATTTTATTTGTAGACAGCCAAAAGGAATTTGAAGACACCAACGAAAACGAAAAGACAGGACAAATATTTTCCAATTACATAATTACAAAAATTTGATACTTTTGTTAATTAAAATAGAAAATATAATAATAATAATAATAGCTTTATTCATCCATCTTAAGATAAAAAAGTACAATGGACTTACAATTACTTGTTTAAGAAAGTATATATGCTGCGGATATGTCTTTATATTACAAATTGTTGTAAGATAATTTAGAAAACTAACTAAGAAGTTAAAACTAATAAATTCTTTAATCTAATAAGTTCTTCTAATAAGTTAAAACTATTTATACATATTTACAAGCTCTACCTGAAAATGAATGTTTATGCCTTTCAGTTCCTGAGAAGAATGATATATTGCGATTCCGGTCAATGTTCCTTAAATTGTACTGATTGTTAATTAATTTTGGCAAAACACTGCGACAGGGATGGTGTGGATCGTTCATAAACCTATCAACTTCTCGACTAGTTGCCTCTTCCCTTCTTTCGTTCAACGGTGGTAGGTAATCTTTTTCCAGGCCAAGGATTCTTAAGCTCCTGGATTGACCCGCTCTATTTCATCTCGCAGGTAATTAGGGAGTCCCGCCCAGACAGGTGATGCATACTCGAGAATTGGTCTTATTTTGGATTGATAGGTAATAATACCGACTTCAGCTGGTAACTGCGATTTCCTGCATTCTCTAAGATGGTAAAGGCGTTTATTTGCTTTACGTGTAATCTCTTCAACATGTGCGTTCCATTTTAGATTATTTTGGAACGATACGCCAAGTAATTTAAAAGCGTTGACCCTTTCTATTAACTCATTTCCAATACGAAGACGTGGTGGTTCAGGTATAGCGTCCGTGAACGAGATCCACATGTCCTTAGTTTTTTTAGCATTAATTGCCATTTTATTTAACACCGCCCAGTTATTTATTTCATTGATAGATTGTTGTAAATTACTATTAGAATCTACGCTCACTATTTGGTGTTGTGTGCAGTCATCTGCATACTTATTCGTACTGACTTTTAGTTGTTCTGGTAAGGCGTCCTCCAAATCATCAATGTAGGTATTAAAAAGAATGGGAGATATTACAGAGCCTTGCGGGACTCCGGCCGGGCATGTTGCAATGGATGATAAGGTACCATTGAGATTTACTTGTTGAACTCTTCCGGAAAGGAAACTTTTAATCCATAACCAGAAGGGTTTATTTATGTTCATAGCTGCTAATTTGTTCAAAAGAATATTGTGATCCACAACAATCAGTGGTATTAAACCAGGTTTGGGTAGTTGATATTAACGCAGAGACTGTGCTTCGATGTTGAGTAAACGCGTGCTGGTTATTCTTAATTTTCAGGTCTTCAATATTTAACTGGAGCTGGATCTTTTCCAGGATCTTGGCAAGATGGGGTAAGACTGATATCTGGCGGAAATCATTGTTAATGTCTCTCGGCGGTTGCACTTTAGGAACAGGAAAAATTAGGGCATGTTTGTAGAGTGATGGATAACAACATTGACTTATACTACAGCACACAATGTCATAAACCACAGGAGCTAGGTCTTCGTGGTATTGTTTGAGCATCCATGCAGGAACCTTATCGATGCCAGTTGCTTTTCTTGGATTAAGATGTTTTAAGACCGCTTTAACTTGGCCAATAGAAGGAAGGGTTGGTTTGTTATTCTTATGTGGGTGGTTCACTTCAGGTATTTCAAAGGCGACATTCGTGTAACGGTCCGACCATGGTTTAGTGAAGGCTTTCTGAAGTTTTTCAGCTAAGTCGGATAAGTCTAGGTTTTCGGGCCCGTGTGGAAATTGGGTGTGGGTTGTGTTTTCGGCATTTACTAAAGAGTAGATACAGTTATACCACTTCGATTGATTCGAGGTACGAAATTCTGAGGCCTTGGACCGATAGTAGGTGGCTTTAGCTTTAGCTATAAGATTTGCCACTTTCTCGCATAGTTGTTTGTATCTTGGCTGATCCCCACGAGAAAAGGCCTTCTGACGAGCTTTGATTTGCATTTTAATATTACCGGTGATCCACGGTTTATCAGAGTGATGTACTCTGATGGTTTTTTCAGGTAAGAACTCGTCAAGCATCTTGATTATAATGGAGTTATAAGCTGATACTTTCTCATCCACATCCAGTGCTGAATATACAGTAGTCCAATCTTCAGAAGCTATTCAGGGAGAGGTCATTTAAATTTGCTCGTTTCATCAATCTAATTTTTTTTGACGTAACCGGAGTTTTCTGTCTTTTAATGGGCTTGATTAGAAGACATTGGTGGTCGGAGCGTCCGGTTGGGGGGAGATGGCTAACAGTGTCAAAGAGAGGGAGCATATTTGTAAGGATTTGATCAAGAATGTTGTGTCCTCTAGTCGGTTTAGTTACGGATCTTTTTAAATTAAATCTGTTACATAGTTCTCTTAATTTTAGTTGATTGAAGTCCCCAGCTATAACAATTCCAGATGAAGGACGTTCGCGCAAAAGACTATCTATACAAGTAGTTAAGTATTCATTCATATCGATTGCTTGTTCGGCGGATTGACCAGGAGGGTAGTACACAACAGCAGCAACGATTGTACTGTAAGGTCTAGGGGTTCTTGGGGGTTTTAACAACAACCATATCACTTCTTTGTTTTCTTCTTCGAGGTGAGTCATACGCTCTGTTGGTAAACAATTATTCACGTAGGCGATCACTCCACCGCCAGGAGACTTTCTATCGCGACGAAATATGTTGTATTTATTACCGATCTTAACCGAGGAATCACCGATATCATCACTTAGCCAAGATTCAGTTATCATTACCACGGATGGGTCATAGATCGATACAACAGCAGCTAATTCGTCTACCTTATTTGTTATATGGCATACATTTGACAAGAGGAAGGACAGGACTGAGGACTTTCCGATGGTGGGGTTTGTATTAGTCTTAATGTTAATTAAATTATTAAAATTTACACTTCTCTGAGATGTATAATTATCACTTGTCCGTTGGATTGCGCCTAAACGAGGGTTCCAAACTGGTCCAAGGTGCGGTTGACCAGCTGTAGGTAAGCTTCCCAGGACTCCGTTTCTCCAAGCTGTAACTCTGACTTTGATTGGAAAGGATTCACTTTGTATGCCGGGTTGATTTGACTTGCTCTTGTATCTGTATAGTCTGCTGTTGTTCTTGGTTTCGGAATCCACCGATAGCGACCGCTTCGAAAAATCTTTGAGGGAAAATTTGCTTGACGATATTGATGTTTAGGCTCGGAAAACTGATTGCGCCGGTAATTAGGTTTCGAGAAATGCGTTCTGTTAGTTGAGGAATTATGCATTGGATTCCTCCTATGACGATCCATGTTGGTGTTTAAGGCGGCCTGATTGCGCCGGTAATTAGGTTTCGAGAAATGCGTTCTGTTAGTTGGAGAATTATGCACTTGATTCCTCTTATGACGATGCATGTTGGCGTTTAAGGCGGCCTTTTCTTTTAGGAGATGGTCGAATGAGGTCAGGGAGTCTTGGACGACTGGTTTATTGGGATTTCTATATTTCATAAGAGAGTCATTAACAACTGGCCCTCGGGTATTATATTGTTTCTCTTTGTATGTCGCAGATGGTAAATTATTCATATTAGTGTTTACGTTAACTTCAGATTCTTCTATATCAATTAGTATAACAGAGTCATTGTCAGTGATGGTTGGTTGATTATTCATATTATCGATAGCAATGTTAATTGGCGATTTTGACAATTCCATGCTGTGCAGTGTTTCCTTGAGTAATTTAATTTCTTGTTTCAATAGCTGATTTTCGTTTCGTAGCCGATTGCATTCACATGTAGCGGGAGCTTCAGCAGTATTAACTTTTAGGAATAATAATGCCAAGTCCAATTTAATTTCTGCTACTTCTACAGATAATTTACTACAGTCTTTGCAATTCATTATATAATCGCCTTCGTTCTGCTTGTGTGAACACATTTCTTGCTCATTTGCTTTTCCTTCGCTAGCATCCGAGTCGCTTCGGTTGATAGTTGTTGTTGTATTACTAGATCTGTCAAACATGTTCGAGTTAGAATTGTTAATACTGAGACTACACTGATTATCGATAGATTCATTTCGTCTTTCGGAAACAGCAGGGGTAGCAATGATTAGCTCGGCATCTTTCACTATTGCAATTCGCGATGCATCGATATTTTTCTTCAAAGAGTCAGCCACTTCGCTGCCACGAGGACCTTGAAATAAGACAGTTTTGCTTTTACAATACCAGGTTATAGACAAAGCATCGCTAGTAAATAACCAGCGTCCACCTGACGGTGATTTCCATTTACCATTTATGTTTAACTTTTCTGCGACGTAGGACTTTAATTCGCTTAAGTCGCCATTCCAGATGAGTTTGTTCTTTTGTAATTCAAAGCAATTGCTCATTTTAGGTCAATGTATTATCCGTTAGAAGTGATTTTGAACTGTCTATATCGCGACCAATATCAGATGCCAAAGGAAACGTTTAAAAGAAAACTTTTATGAAGGAGCAACGATATTGTTACGTGTGCAAGGTTGACTTTTAGATTTAGGTAAATATCATAATGTAAATATCATAGCAGTAGTTTTCTTTTCGGTTCTTTTAATATTTAATAAAGAGTTCATTATTACCCACGTAACTTACATGGTGTCAGGAGTGGGATAATAATGAACTCCTTATTAAATAAATACTAACTATTTATAAGGATGCATGCAAGACATTTTCATAAGACATTTATTCATATACGGAGTTAGATATGCGGAACAGACGAGCAGAAATGAAACCGTTGAGTTCTTGTGAACGTGTGAGCAGTGCAAAGAATCATGTTGGATCAACTACACCGTATGTTGTAACAACAAGGAGTGGACGTTTGTCAAAGCCAGCGCAAAGGTATCAGGCATAAAATTTAAAACTTATTGGTAACAATTACTTCATGTTTAATGACAAACTTTCAGAACCTTAGATCAATTTAGATACTTTAGAGAATAACAATACATTTAATCTAGATGAAGTCAATCCTATATTAAGCTAGTACATGCAGAATAGAGAAAAAACTAAAAAAAGAATTGTTGTTTTAATCGTAGTAATTATTGTATAATTTAATTGATAATTTGTTAAGTATGGACTTCCCTAGTGAAAAGAAAGGGTGTAACGGAAGCTAATATATGTAAATGTCTTATGTAAATGTCTTGCATGCATCCTTATAAATAGTTAGTATTTATCAGTTAATAAAGAGTTCATTATTACCCACGTAACTTACAGCATGAGCTCCACCTTTGTATTTACTATATGAGTAAATTCTTAAACACCTCCGAATTTATCATTATGATAAATTCGCGGCACATTTTGAATTTATTATAATGATAAATTCGCGGCATCTAACCCTTAACTCTAACCCCAACCCCATCCCTAACCACTAACCCCTAACTTTTTAAACTTTTTTTAAACTTTTAACTTTTTTAACTTTTTTAACTTTTTTAACTTTTTTAACTTTTTTAACTTTTTTAACTTTTTTGAAAGCCTAACTTTTTAAACTTTTTTTCTCTTTTTTAAAACTTTTTTTTTGAAAATCCTGAGAATCGCGCTGATTGACCGTATCTATAACGAGCGTGACTAACGCGTGACTCACACATTGCAAACGGAGTGAAATAGGATAATCACAGATATTTACTTGTATAAAGAATATTATATTTTTTGGACGGATGGATCAACTTTCAGTTAAAAACACACTAATCTTTAATTTTCAACAAATGCTGGTTTCCAAGAAACAAGATGTATCTGTAAGTGCTTCTCTTAACCCACGTAAAATTAACAAATATTTTCAAAGTGTGAATACGGACCCAAATTGTACGACTCACGAGCCTCTTTAAATCTCCGAAGGAACAAGAATCCCTTCGTTGTCAATTCATGAAGTTCAACATCTTTTACTGAATCAAAAACGCTCTTCATCGGGTCCGGACAATCTGCCATATTGGTTTTGGAAATCGTTTGCTATTGAATTAGCTCCTATTGACACAGAAATTTTTAACATGTCGCTAAAAACCAGCAAAGTACCTCAGAAATGGAAATCCGCTAATTTATTACCACTCCCTAAAGAATCACCATTAAATTCGTGCAACCAGTTAAGACCAATCTCTCTGACGGACATCATCATGAGACTATTCGAGAAGTGCTTGCATAAATCTGAAATCGCACCTATCACAAGAAATAACATTGGTCCTGACCAATTTGCTTATAAAAAGGGTCACAACTCGACTATGGCCCTGATTAAATCCCAACATCAATGGCTAGAGTGGCCGGATAAAAACGCTGATTATGTTAGAGTGCTGTCCTTCGATTTCAGCAAAGCACTAATTGACAGTGTGCCCCACGAACTTTTGTTTGAAAAAGATAAAAAGCTACCCATTAATACGTATGTGGTGAACTGGATAATTAGCTTTCTAGAAAATAGAATACAAAGAGTAATGGTTGATGGAATTGTTACAGTCTGAATATTTATATATTAATCGTGGTGTTCCTCAAAGAACCGTTTTAGGCCCTGTTCTTTTCTCAATAATGGTCGATGATATTAAAACTGCTAATCCTAGTAATGCGTTAGTCAAATTTGCTGACGATTTGACGTTAGGAGTGCCTGGCAACGAAAGTGGTGACACATCTCGATCTGAAGCTGCCTGTTTACAGGATTGGGCGGAAAAGAATAGAATGCCCTTAAACTTGGAAAAAACGTACGAAATGGTTGTTCGCAGACACGCCTCAGTAGTTTTTCCTGAGCTTATCCCTTCAATTAAGCGAAAAACATGACTAAAGCTTTTAGGAATTACTTTACAAGATAATCCGTGCAACTGGGATTTGCACGTCGAAGAAATGCTCAAAAAAGCAAGTGGAAGAATGTACATTATGAGAGTTTGCAAATACTATGAAGTATCAATTAAACAATTAGATCTGCTGTTTGATAGCCTAATAATGTCGACATTCACTTTTGCTATTGAGCTGTGAGGTTGTGCATATGACGGTAAATATTTGAACCAAATAGATAAATTCATTAAACGTGCACATAAGAATGGTTATATATCAAAACGAACACACATTAAAGAAATACGTGATAAGAGAGATAAGAAACTGTGGAACAAAATAACATCAACTGAGGACAATGCATTGCTTAAACTGCTGCCGGAAAAAGAAGTAGGTTACTTAGGCCTAGAGGGCATGAATGAGTATGAACTCCCCCTAGTGAGAACAGAAAGATTCAAAAGGTCGTCCATAAATCGTTGTCTGCATAACTTTGTTTAGACTTTATTGTATTTAAAACTTTTTAAAACTTTTTACGCTTCTTAACTTACATTGTAAATATTATACAAATAATGAATGTTTATGAGTGCAATGGTAAGAATATTTTCATGAGGTGAAAGATTCCATTCCATCTTTCACCGAATGAAAATATTCTTACCATTGCACGAAGAAACATTCATTATTTGTTTTATATAATACCAAAATAGACTAATAGATTCGTATGAGAAGCATTTTGGGGGATGCGATTTATCGAAAACACAAAGAGTGCAATTGTACCATACGTTTTATTCCATTGCACTCGCGGAGAGTGCAATGGAACGTGTTCCATTGCACTCTTGGGAAATGGAATTTTCTATTCAATATCACGTGACCATAAACAGCCAATTAACTGATTAGAATTTAATAAGGTATTGTATAAAACTATCTAGATCAATTACCTTTCGATTGTAAAGTCAGACGGATGTATTTGAGTATTTTAATAAAGACTATTATTATTACTATTATTATTATTATTATTATTATTATTACTATTATTACTATTATTACTATTATTACTATTATTACTATTATTACTATTATTACTATTATTACTATTATTACTATTATTATTATTATTATTATTATTATTATTATTATTATTATTATATTATTATATATTAGGTCCAAAATGTATGTAGATCTGCCTGGATTTATTAGCCCATCTGTCATCACTGGTGACGAGTTACGACCAGACCTTCTATTGACAATCGAAAATAAGATTTTGTACATTCTAGAATTAACTGTTGGATTCGAAACAAACCTGAAAACTAACTCAGATCGAAAACATGAAAAATATTTGACTCTAATTACCGATCAAGAAAATATATATGATGAAGTTAAGTTTGTTAATGTATCTATAAGCTCTTTAGGTGTATTTGGTGAATCGACGAATACTTTATTTGATATGCTCCATGATCTGAAGTACGACGAACAACGTATTAAATATGTAAAAAAGAAAATAATTGCTACTTGTATTCGCACGTCGTATTATATATTCTTTAGACGAAACAAAGACTGGAACAACCCAGAACTTTTAAACTTTTAACTAAATTTAAAAGATTTTCACCTGTATATATATTTTAGCTTTAAACTCAATTCAAGTGGACATCGATAAGCTACCTTTTATTAAGTGAGGTTTATCAATGTATATATAGTATATCGTAAATATCTAATAAAAAGTTTCCATTATTATTATTATTATTATTATTATTATTATTATTATTATTATTATTATTATTATTATTATTATTATTATTATTATTATTATTATTATTATTATTATTAATATTATTATTATTATTATTATTATTATTATTATTATTATTATTATTATTATTATTATTATTATTATTATTATTATTATTATTATTATTATTATTATTATTATTATTATTATTATTATTATTATTATTATTATTATATAAATAAAATAAATATAGAGAATTATTGAGACAGCTAGGTAAAAATTTTAACCAAGTTAAATTTATAAATCTCTCCATCAGCTCTTTAGGTATTTTTGCAGAAGAATGTTATACATTTTTAGACATGTTAGAAAGCATTGGTCTTGACAAAAACCACCAAATGTACTGCGTTAGGAAAATGATGACTATTACTATTAGAACTACATATTACATTTTTTGCTGCCGAAATAAGGAATGGGAAAATCCGGATTTACTAACAATTTGACTTATCTCATTGTATATATATATTGCATGCACTTTGTTCTGTTATTTTAGTTTAGTATAATTGTGATTTAAATAGCCAACCGTAAGCTACCTTTATGAGAGAGATTTACGATTGTATATGTATGTAAAGAAAAACATTTAATAAAGTTTCCATTATTATTATTATTATTATTATAAAAGATGTGTCTACTTTATGATACAACCTCGTTCCCAGAGCCTTTTAAATAAATCCCTCCCCCCATTAATTACCTATGATGTAGGTTCATTACTGATTTCATAAATTATATAAATATTATGAATTTGTTAACTAATAGTACTATAAATTAGTAAAGAAATCTCGGAAAATTACTACTATAATTTAAGCTTGATGATTGCTAAATGAAAAGGTCGAGGAAGAAAACATTTCACAAAACGAACCATATTAAGTGACCGTCGACAAATAGATTTCGTCCCGCATCGCGGACTTGAGCCGCGATGGGGGGGAGGGAGATATAATACGAAGATCAGAAGAAAATGTAGTACATTTTAAATAATATACTCACAAAAAGTTCGGAGGCAAAAAGCGGACACAGCTCAACAACAATACTTCGTTTGATATTTACATTACGAAGTACATAAACTATGCCCGAACCATTAATACGCTTTAATACGGTTAATTCCGATTTGATATGTGTTGCCGCTGGAATGACTGATCGCGGCCGAATATTTTGTGTTGACTTTTCTCATTTTCTGACTAAGTTCGCAGTTCGACACAACCTTTCTTTCGTTCAATCGGGCATATAAATATTGCATTTGTGGACAACAAATCGGGTATTTATTTAAATTTTATGTTGCTTACAACTGCTAAACAATACGGAAACTAGTTTTTATTTATTACAAGCTGGTTGTAATGTTAAAAGTCAGCATTACATACTGTATTCTTGCCTATAGTAGACCGCCCTCAGTCATATTTCGGATAATATTTTGGACAATAATTTCGATTCTCTTTGGGTTTTTTACTTGTCCGCGATGAGGTAGCGGGGGGGGGGGGAGGGGGTTCAAACAATCGCGGCCCAAGTCCGCAATGCGGGACGAAATCTATTTGTCGACGGCCCCTAAGATGCCGAAGTTCTTATGTCTTCCGGAATTTGATTCTAGACATGGGCCCCACTGTAACTGAGACTTTTTTTTAGAGATTCTGTTCTAGGCCTGGGATGGCAAAGTCTAGTTGAACTGTTGAAGACCCTCTCAAATTATAATCATACATTGTATTTGAAATTTGAAAAAAGTTACTCAGTCTTTGAAGAGCTAATTTATTGATCGATTTGTACATAAGTCTGGCTTTCATTTGTGCTCTGCGTTCTTCAAGGGTTATCCAACCAAGTGACGAATTGCGAGCCAGTAAGGATTATCCAGACTCATTTTTCAAATTCATAATTATTCTAGCCGCCCTATTTTCGTTTTAAACGTACACACAAATTTAGTAAGGTTTATTTCTAACATTTTTAAGGTAATATCGTAGCATTATTTTTAATTTTTGCTTGGGCTCGTCCGCATGTAGGCTTTTTCTCTTGCGAGAAGCGTTCAAAATTAAACAGCCACACACGAACGTGTTTCTTTCTACTTCAATTAACGTTCTTATTACAAACTAAACCTGATTTCTCTGTTCGAAAAGCCTAAAAATTGTGCCGGTATACAAACAATTAGCGAACTTAAGCAAAGTTTAATCTAGTACGGGGACGTGTCACGAAACCTCCTTAAATTTTACACTTTTATAATTATAAAGAACTACTGTTATTAAGAACGTTCAACAAAGCAGAACGAAGGTACAACGAGAACAGCTAAAATATTATATCAATGCAAGAAAATGAGCAGAAATTGGCAATTAAAATCCACGGACGTTTTAGACGTCGCCGTAGCTATGTTTTACAACAGCAAAATACGGATTATCACGTCTTGTATACAACGCTTACATTTCAAGCTGGGAGAAGAGCTATTTTAAATTGGTTCCTGGAACTTTCTCAATCATAAACCCAGTGTTAATTTTGATCACTTAAAATGTATTATTTTCATACGATGGATAATAGACGACAGGTTTTCTTCTGCAGTCATTTGGTTTAACGAGTTTGTTTGCCGTCGCAGTCGCGTTCCCGTCCTACATGCTTAAGGTCGCTAATAACAAAACAAGAAAACGCCTTCATAATATGAGTATGGTAAATTTGCATATCCTTTTTGTTCGTTTTTAGAATTCAGTCACGCGATAAACGCCGCGCTACGTGTACTCTTCGCGCGAATGCGTAGACAAAAGTCCCCTCTTGTTCAAAAAGTTCCATACAGTGGCGCCATGGCCGGGAGGGGAGGGGGGTGCAGGGGGGCCATGCCCCCCCCCCCTATTGTTTGAGACCCGTCGGAAAATTGTCAATGTTGTCGAAAATTGTCGGAAATTGTCAATGTTGTCGGAAATTGTCAAAATTGTCGACGGAGGTGGGGTGGATTTTCGATTTGTCGGAAAAGCACTGCCGTTGGCCCCCTGAAAAACATGGGTCCCACGGCGCCACTGGTTCCATAGCTTGTCAAAAGCTTGTCATTTCAAAAGAAAACACGAACGAGATGTAGATTTGCAGCGCGTGCATGGAAGCACGATTTTCAAATCGGGGTACTTTTTGGGTTATATAGAGCCCAGCCACCATGAAAATGTTCAAAAGACAACAGTGTCGCGGAAGGGGAAGTTTGAGGCCGAAGTAAACGACGTTTACGCGTGCTAATTTAGTGCTAATTCGTAGAAGCTTGTAGAATATACTAGAATCAGTGATGCCAGATCATGAACAAAATTCACAGTTCTATGAACTTTTTGTCTTGGACATGAACTTTTTATGAACAACAATAGTTTGTGAACATTTCATCAACTTTTCAAAATAATATGAACTATTTCATGAACTTTGATTGTTACATTCCCTCAAGATAAATGTTGTAATATAAATTACCACAGTTTCGCTGTTAACGATTAATTCTTCATAAATTATGTTTATGAATATCTTTTATCTCATTCTCTAATATTCTGAGTCTCCTGGATGAAATGTTCAGCGGTTGTAACATGGTTATAATTCAATAAATTCATATCATATCCATATTGTTAAGCATCTGCAGAAAGTGCAAACAGCGATGAGCGATTTAACTGGTTCGTTTTGCCTTAACAGAAGCCAAAATCACTTCAACTAATCACAAATGCATGCGCATACAAAATTGCATTTAGTTTATAAACATACTCATGCAAATTGCTTCATAAGAGAAATATTTTTAAAAAGCGCTCACTCAGCATTAAGTGTAAAGTACAGGCTGGGAGTGGGGTCTTTTGAAAAGTAAAAAAATGCTAGTCAAGCAGTTTTCCAGTTAGGCTATGCGTTGCAAGCAATAGTTAGGCTATGGTTAGAAACGTTCACATTATTTTGATTTATTTCACATTAAATTTCATTCATTAATGTTTTGCTGTAGTAGCTGTACACCACTGTTTCCTGTACGTACAGATGGTGCAGTAATTTATATCAGGAATACAAAGCTAATCACAAAGAATTTTAAGGCTACGATATCTCAACTAAAGAAACGAAAATGATATTAAACTTGTCTCAGCCAATAGAGTTGAGTTGAACGAATGTGAACTGTACAGTCGTTCAGTTAATGAGGCTATCCGTTTGTTCTCGTGCTTCGGTACAGATTAACTTAAGGGCTGTTTATATGGTCCCGCTTATCTGGGATTCAATGAAGAGTGACGTATTTTGAGCAATTGAAATAAGTCGTACTTCATGATCTAACAAAATTGCTTATTACAAATTGTATGATATTCCATGTTTTAGACAAACAACAAATGTTGTTGAATGCTATTAATCGTCTTTTTAACATAAGTATAACTTCTAGCGCATTCCTAATTTCGTTTAAATTAAACAATATTTAAAGTTATCTAACTTTTGTTTAGGGTTGAAACCAGGGCGCTTATATAGAGGGCGGTAAAACGCGCTGATGTCGCGCTGATCGATGTGTGATGCGGAAAAGGACTGGCACGAGCGTGCTTTTCGGTAAAAGTTGACAAGGAGCGTGATTTTTCCTGCTGTTGTATTTTCGCTGTTTTTTCATTAACTACGAAATTCTTGAGGATGTTTTTGCACTGTAACGACGAAGTAGTAACTAGTGTATCGTACGAATGCTTGTTTGGCCTGTATAGCTGAATTTTGAAAGAAATATTGAGGATAATGAGTCGGGCTTTTGATGACTTCAATGAAGGGAAATTTTCAAAACAGCATTTGGGCATGTTATCAAGTCGTCCAAACTTCGAAATTCAGTTGATGGTAAAGATTATAATTATGTGCTTATCTCCAAAAGTTTTCATAAGACTTGGAGTTGAGCAATTGAATACACAGCGTTGGAAAGTGAGGTATTTTTGTGTGTTAAATTTTGCCTAATTAGACCATTATTTCGCTGCAAAAAAATAAACAACAATTGTATTTTGGCCATTGTATTTTGTTATTATGTTAATAATTTTGTACGACTTTTAAGGCATTCAATTGAAGTAATTCTGAGCCGTAAACATATTTTACTTCTTGGCCTTTGAATCAAAATACGACTCGCTCGGACGTTTGTTGAGCGCAATAGTCGAAAAAGTTTCGTCCCAACTTCGATTTTTTTTGACCGGCTGGCCAAGACAACTTCTCGTAAGGATTCGTTAAAAAAATACAAAATCAAGTTGAGCATTTCTTGATTTTCAACTGAAAAGATCAACTAGTGGCTAAAATTAATTGTGAATTGTATTCTATCGAACGTGAACGATACGTGTACGTGCGAAGAGTTTTAAAAACCTTTCACGTCATGCTTCTTGCGAAAGCAACCGTTCGTATTAAGCTTTCGCAAGCGTTTTGAGCAAAAACTCTAAAATATTGGCAGTATTACCTGAAAATACAATAGCAGAATCTACTAAATTATCGTATAACATCGGAAATTTACCCCCAATATCTATTTCTTCATCAAAACTTGACTACAAAACAGTCAAAACTTCCAGCTCAGTTTTCCCGCCATATTTATCCTTGCCATATAAGACAACGTCGCCATAGTAACCGCAACAAACTCGTTACCAGTTCATTGCATCACACATCGATCGGCGCGCCTATAGTCGTTTCACCGCCCTATATATAAGCGCCCTGGTTGAAACACGTATTTCAATTGCGGGACCATATAAGCAGCCCCTAGTACGGATCCGTTTGGATTCAAACGAACGAACAAAATACAACTAAGTGCCAGTGAAGCTCGACTGCCTCGACAAGTAATACAACGGTTATGAGTTATAAAATATAAGAGAATGTGTGGAAAATACGAACACATGCAGATGCGGAAAATTACAGCGTTCCTGGACGTTAACAATCAGAATTATAGAGAATTATCTACCTGGAAAATTTGCGGTGGTCGCAAGGGCAGGCGATGTGTAATATATATGCCGTTGTAACAAATTGTACGTAATGTCGAAGAAAACGTATATAGGCTTTACGGCAGGGACGACCCACTTAAATTCTGTAGTGAGAACAAACCGATAGCTGCTCCCAAGTACAGCCGGTTGAGAAGGATGATTCGCATCATGCTCGACATGCGTGACAAGTCAAATTGGTTGGTGAGCTTTCTCTTGCTTCTGTGTAAGGAAGGCGTTTCGTTAAATTCCCAAGGTCGACACTTGTGACTTGGATGACCAAAACATTTCAGCGCCGTCCTTCCTTTTCGGTGGCAAATGCTCAAAAATACCGATTTTGTGCGACTTTTATACTGTCTGATACTCACATGAGGCAGGTCAGTGAGGCAGGGCAGACGTGTCTTTTGTGCTCCGCCGATTGTTTGTAATTTTACTTTGAAATAAAATAGTTTTGAAGGCATGGATGGCACTAAATATACCGATTTCTTAATCTTTGATGGAGAATCATATCGTTGGTTGGGGAGCTATACTGAGTTAAAGAATTATATTGCCGAAGACTTAAAAATGGCAGGAATATGGAAGTCACCGGGAGGAGGTGCTAAGCGTTTCATAGCTGGCCAAGATTCAGAATTTGTTCTTAAATGGCAAAAGTCAAAAAAGTTGGTAATCGAAAAGGACAACACAGATGAGTATTTATCAAAATATCTTAAAGCTAACGCATGTGTCACGTCGGTCGTAGCTATGAACGGCTGCGAGAATGAGTTTTTGTCGACCAGCAGCAATGGCGAAGGCGTCCATGCGGCTAATTTTACCTTGCCCACTGAAACTAATATAAATGATGACCCATCCTTAGTGCACTTAACGAAAGCAGTAGAAGCTGGATTTAGTCTAGCAGACACGAAAATTAGAAATATTGAAGAGAAACTCAATGTTAAAATAAGTGATGTTCTTGACGATCTGAACGAACTAAAGGCCCGGTCTGAGCCTGTCTCCGAGCGATTAGTCAATGCATTGCTTGAAGAGAATACTAAACTTAAGAAAGATAACGATGTGCTATCTGGGAGACTCAATAATTCGTTGCTTGTTGTATCGGATCTTAACACCCGTATTAAGGACATTGAAAACGAGAAATGTAGTTTGATTACAGCTATTAGACTTATTCAATGCGCAGACAAAAGTCATGTTGACTCAACGGTAACGGCAGCGGAGCAGTTGAAGTCTGATGACACTAACGTATTTAATCAACATGATTTATCTCATAATTTAAGTATGAATGATGTCGAAGAGTCGATTTGGGTAGTTGATAAAAACCCAGATTATTTTCTGTCAAGTAATAAAATCCCGGAGTCACAAAGTTTGAAGCGCAAGTATAAGTCGAAAAACAAGAGAAAAGGTCTAAACCTTGATAAGAATTTGTCCGAAAATGCAAATTCCACAACTAGATCGGAAGTCTTACAACAAATTCCAGCAAACAATAATTCCACAGCAGAACCAGTCATGCAACAAATACCATCAAATGACAATACAATGACAGAACCAGTCATGCAACAAATTCCATCAAATGTCAATTCAATAACAGACCCCGTTGTTCAACAAATTCCATCAAATACCAGTGGCACCAATAACTTGCATACTGTGCCAGAAACGCATAACCAACATGCAAATTATTCTGTGAAAAATGTCACTGTTGTTGCAGGAGATTCAATTGTCCAGAACCTGCAAGGCTGGCGTCTTTCTAACACTGACAACCATGTTGTTGTCAAGAGCTTCTCTGGGGCAAATATAACAGACATGGAAGACTATTTGAAGCCCATCCTTCGTAAGGAGCCGAATAAAGTCATTC